GGAGGGGAGGGGCAGGGGGCGGGGCTTCTGGAGAAGGGGGGGGTCCCCCCTCTTCTTCCAGCCTCTTCCGAGTTGGAGGGTGGGTGGGAGCGATGTTTGAATTGGATCTAGGCACGGGCCACCCCCTCCTTTTCCGCTCTGCTGCATCACACGCAACAGGTGTAGGGGGAGTGTCTGTTCTGTTAGGGAGCTGGGCTCACCTGCCCGCTGGGTTAAAGGATGATGAGTTGGCCCGTGGCTAGCTTTTCCCCTAGGTACCAGGCATCCTGAGAGCCCAGTGCCTGGGCCTGGTAGACTGTGATCCCTACACTGCATCCTCTTCCCTCACTCCCCCCAGGCTCCTCCCCGGGGGGGGCAGAGGGGGGGAAGAGCCCAGTGCAGTGTGTCCTGGGAGCAAAATGGGCTGAGGGGGATGATGTTGGGAGCTGGGAAGAGGGCTCCGTCTCCCCACCCCAGCCATGGGCAGAGGGCAGCACAAGCTCTTCTTCCTGACCTCTTGGCCTTTTCCTCCTACAGCTCTATGTCCCAACCCACCTCCCACCAAGAAGATCACCCAAGATGACATCAAAGTGATGCTCTATTTGCTGGAGGAGGTGTGTACTGCTTGCTCAGGCTGGGCACTGGCCTTACTCAGTCCCTGTTTTAATTGGGGTCCTTTTCTTCTAAAAGGCAGGTACTTCTCAGGGCCATTATGGGCTGATGCGCTCTTATTCTAGAAAGGGAACTGAGGCATGAAACCCACAATGGGTTTAGTGGTGGATCTAGTCTAGCATCTGGAGAATGTGATGAGGGAAGTGGGGGGGTTCTAATGGTGGCTTAGCTTCCTGCTGACCCCCTGGGGTACCTCCTAGCATCTCCAGCTAGCCTGGGAAAGTATCCCTTGTGGATGTACTTTCTCTGCAGAAAGAGCGGGATCTGAGCACAGCGGCTCGCATCGGCCAGTCTCTGGTGAAACAGAACAGCGTCTTGATGGAGGAAAACAGCAAACTGGAAGCCATGCTGGGCTCTGCCAGGGAGGAGGTAGCTGGGGGGGGGGAGAGGGAGGGGACAGCCTTGCCCCCTCCTCCTTCTAGAATCTGCTCCTGTGCCTGTGCACTCCTGTTCACTTCTTCCTCGCTCCTGACAGATTTTACACCTCAGACACCAGGTGAACTTGCGAGATGACCTCCTTCAGCTGTACTCGGACTCAGATGATGAGGATGAAGATGAGGAAGAGGAGGAAGAAGAGGAGGAGGAAGAGGAGGAGGAGGAGGAAGAGGAGGAGGAGGAGGAGGAGGAGGAATTCGGAAGAGAGGAAGATCGGCCCTGTGACCATCCCTATGATGTCTCCAAACCGTGCGTGTCTCAACTTTGCACCTGGGTGGTCCCTTTCTGAGACTCAGTTTACTGGTTTGCAGACAGAATCCAAGCAGTGTGCCTGTGATCGCGGTTGCCAGGACTCCCTGAGAGCTCCCCCTTCCACCGGGGCGGGGAAGTCCTAAAAGTGCTCTGGGAACCAGAAACCCTGACTCCTATTGCTCCCTTCCCAGGGCTCCTCAGGAGGAGTCGCTGCACCACTGCCCGCAGCTGGAGGTCCTGCAGCGCAAGCTGAGGCTGCTGGAGGAGGAGAATGACCAGCTGAGGGAGGAGGTGAGGACAGGGAGGAGGGTGAGCCCGAGGGCGGGGAATGGTGATGGCCCTGCCCCTTCCTCTCTCCCTCCCTTTAGGCTTCTCATCTCGACACCCTGGAGGACGAGGAGCAGATGCTCATTCTGGAGTGTGTGGAGCAGTTTTGTACGTGCTGTTGTAACTCGGGGTAGGGGGCTGCCCCGAGGAGTCTCCAAGAACCTGGGTTCAGTTCCTGATCCTGGGGCTTCCCACCCTGCGCAAGCTTAGACACATTCCTCGGCCTCTCTGAGGCCTCATCTTTAGCGTGGGAATGAATAATCCCACCCCACTGAGCTCCCCAAGGTTTATGGCGACTGCTGAGGAAGAGCTTTATGCAAAGAGAAGGGCAGTAGCCAAGTGCTGGAATCCCAGCTACTCAGCAGGCTGAGATCTGAAGATCCCCGTTGGAAGCTAGCCCAGGCAGGAAAGTCCATGAGACTGTCATCTCCAATTAACCAGCAAAGCTAGAAGTAGGGGTGTGGCTCAAGTGGTAGAGCACCATCCTTGAGTGGAAAAAAAAAAGCCAAGTGAGAGAATGAAGCCCTGAGTTCAAGCCCCAGTACACACACACACACACACACACACACACTCACACACAGAAAGCTGTGCACAAGCCAAGGGACTGCTTAATATTTATCTCTGTTAGAGAGAGAGAACCAGGAGAGAGGGAGCCAGGATCAGCTGCTGAAGGCCATGGCTGGGCAGTTCAGAGTCATGCATTGGGTGGGGGCTGTGGTCAGTAGCATCTGGGCACTGTGCTTATGATGTGTGAGGCCCCATGACTGGCCCAGCTGAAGTCTAGCTGCTGAAATGCACACTCAAAGACATAACAGCTGAGCCCAGGCTGTCTCCACCTCAAGCCTGACCTTCCTTTCCCCTGGTTCTACTTCTCCCCAGGTGACTGGAGTAGAACCAGTCCCCAAGTCCTGTGGCTCCTACCAACTAGTAATGGCCCAAGAGTTCCCTCCGCCTTCCTGCTGCCTTAGCACAGGACTCCTCTGTCCAGGGTCTCCTTGACTTTACTCCTGCCCTTCTAGGCCCTTCTAGGCCTAAAATCCCCATCGGCCTTTGCAATTCGGGTCCTGACCACTGTCTTGGCTCCACCCTCCCAGTGCCCAGTGATTGCCCCTTGGCTGCTCCATACCTTGCTTGGGCTTGTGACTTCTTTTGCCTGGTGGAACCTCCCTCACCCTGTGGTCTTCGCTTAGTGGATTATCCTTCCCAGACCCAACAAGTCTGGGTTCGTTCGTGTGCCACAGCTGAGACCTTCCCCCTAACTTCACTATATGCCCTTGACATTGGTTCCACCGGAGCTTATATCATATGGAACTGTTGAGTTTTTTCCCCCAGCTGGCTGCTCACTAGGCTGGAGCTCACTGTGGGCTGGGACCAGGCCTTTTTAGTCATATATGCCAGAGACCTGCTCAGTGGCAGTAAGCACTTTTTAAAAAAAGACTTGAGTCAGGGCCCCCCTGGGCCTCCATGGGAGTTGAATGGATAGGGGCAGACAAATCTGCCGGGGGCCTGAGCTGACCACATCCCCTCTCTGTAGCCGAGGCCAGCCAGCAGATGGCCGAGCTGTCCGAGGTGCTGGTGCTCCGGCTGGAGAACTACGAGCGGCAGCAGAAGGAGATCACCCAGCTGCAGGCCCAGATCGCAAAGCTGCAGCAGCGCTGCCAGTCGGTGAGCGGAGCGGTGGTGTAGGACCCCCCTCCCCGGGCTCAGCCTTCTTCTCTTTGAAGTGCCTTTGGAGCTCTGGGATCCACCAGACCCCTCTCTGTGCATGCACTAGAGTTGGCAGGGATACTAGAGAGCCCCACCCCCTCCCTGTTCACTGTATCACGGAGGGGACCCCAGACTGAATCCCAGACTCACCCAGGAGCCAGACGTCCTGGCTCCCCTCCTTATTGGCCCTTGTTCTATGTGACCTCTGACTTTGAGAGCTGCCAAAGATGTGTGGGAATAAGGCTGGATCGGGGGGAAGAGGGGGTGCTGGGAGTGAAGAAGCTGTGGCATAGCAGGAAGACCATGGAAAGGGCTTATGGGTTCTGGATCCTTCCAGTACGGGGCTGAGACTGAGAAGCTGCAGCAGCAGCTGGCCTCTGAGAAGGGAATCCACGTGCAGCTCCAGGCCGAGGTAAGAGGCCCCTGGCCCTGAGCAAGAAACCTGGACAGCTGCCTGACCCCTGAGAGACCAGCAGCTTCCAGGCAGAAGCTGGGTGTTGTTCCGTTCTGCACAACCCACAGCTTAGCTGAGGTCCCAGGAGTGGAAGGTAGGTCCCAGGCATCCGTCTGGGACCACCCTGCATGCCACATACGGGGTCTACAGCCTGGGCCTGAGGCCAAAGGTGGATGGAATATAGACTGGTGGCTCATGCCTGTAACCCTCACTACTCAGCGGGGCTGAGATCTGAGGATCATGCTTTGAAGCCAGCCTAGGCAGGAAAAATCTGTGAGATTCTTATCTCCACTGAATCACCAAAAAGCCAGCTGCCGAGGTGTGACTCAAGTGGACAGAGCACCAGTCTTGAGCAAAATAGCTAAGGGACAGGGCCCAGGCCCCAGTATGGGCACCAACACACATACACATGACAAGGGCAAACTGGATGTATCTGGATCTCCACAGAACCTTCGGGCGGGCTCCCAGATGCCAGACCCACGGGAGAAGTACACAGACTGTGGAGGCATGATGCGTGAGCGCCAGGAGGAGGCAAAGCACCTGCGCCAGCACCCCCGGGCACCCGCCGGCTCTGTCACCCATTATGCGTACAGTGTACCTCTGGTGAGGACCTTCCTTGGGTAACCTGTCTCAGCCCTATTGGCTGATTTCTGTCCCCATCCCTTTGCATGAGAGGTGTTAGAGAGATCTTTGGTCACTGTCCCCTCCCCCCCTTCCCATTTACCATAGGAGGTACTTCCAAGTTTCCCGGAAACTCTGGCGGAGGAGCTCAGAACCTCTCTAAGGAAGATCATCTCAGACCCGGCATATTTTATGGACAGGTGTGTTGCTGGGGACCTCTCACCCCAAACCTGGCCTAATCATACTCACTCTGGTCAGTTGGCAGTGGGTAGCTGGGGAGGGGACCGTCCTTACGCAGTGCCCTTGCGTGCTTTTCCTGGTGCCCCTCCTGTCTCCCCGCACTGGCACTGCCTTGCTTGCTTGCTTGCTGCCCCCTCCTACCCCCCACCCCGGCCCCTTCTGCTCTTGACAAGCCTTGGACCCATCACTTCTTGGCCAGACTGGGCCCCAGGGACTTTGTGGTTTCAGCCTTTGCCTGAGTATGGCTGAAGGTCCTGGCCTCTGTTAAGGAATTAAGGGATGCCCCATGGGGGCAGACTTCGCACCTGGGGTAAGCTGGCCAGGGGCTCACCTTTCAGCTGCTGTTTCTATGGTCCTACATCCCAGGAAGCCTTCCTTCTCTAGGCCCATTGAACTGAGAGTTGTTCTGGGAAATGCCTGCTCCCTTTCCTTCAAATATTGCCCTTCTACCCAAGAGAAGCTGGTGGCCTAGGAGCTGGGAGCATCTGGGACTCTGTCCTAGCCTGGTCCCCTTACTGGCTGTGTATCCTCAGGCAAATCCATTGAGCTCCCCAGGACTTACCTGAATGGGTTGTTTCTATGGCAACTAGCGGTGTGGGGGGGGGTGAAATACAATCCCTGGGGAGTAGAGGAGGGTGCTAGGAGCCCCCAGCAGGGTCTGGAAAGGCGTCACTGTCTTCCTGCCCAGATGCAGCAACCTTCGCTATAGGGAGGAGCAAAAGCAGGAGCCGGAGGAGTTCAGGGCTGAACAGGGGTTTAAGCTGCCACCGGATATGGATCCTGCAGAGGAGCTAGTGCCTGAGGAGGAGCTGGAGGCCAGAGAAGAGAGGGAGCCATCTGAGGAAGGGCTGGCAGAAGAGTCAGAGCTGATGTCTGAGGACACGGAGGCCTGGGAGGAGTTGGAGCCGGAGGTGGATGAGGCCACTCGGATGAATGTGGTGACCTCCGCCCTGGAGGCCAGTGGCCTAGGCCCTTCGCATCTGGACATGAAGTATGTCCTCCAGCAACTGGCCAACTGGCAGGATGCCCATTGCAAGCGGCAGCAGCAGCAGAAGGTGGCCCAGAAAGGTGAGTGCTCCCGTGGGGGCCTCCCTCCGTCCAGCCGGACAAGCTGCAGATCGTCCAGCCGATGAGAGGTGAGGGTGGGTGAGCCCCACCGAGCGGCTCGCTTACCCCAGCCCGGCCCCACCCAGCGTGCTTATTTGCATGGACTTTGCATACTATTTGCATAGGTCCCTCAGGTCCCCCCTTGGTAGGAACCGTGGCCCCCATGCTCACTTATGTGGAATTGGCTTACAAGTCCAGATCTCTATCCACTTTTCTCCTGGGGGCTGGGCTAGGGGGTCAGGTTTGGGACCTGATCCACCCCCCCATCCCCCCTGCTACACCTCAGCTTCTGTCTCTGCTCACCTCCTCCCCCTACCTTTCACCTCCACCTCCCCTATCCCCCCCAAGGCTCCCCAAACCTGCAGCAGTGGCAGACCCAGGCCAAAACAAACATGGGGGGCGGGATCGAGGAGCAGCAGCCCAGGGTGCCAACCCAGGACTTCCCCAGGCTGGAGGAGGAGAGGGCCAGCCCCCCTCCCAAGGCCTGGGAGGAAGAGGGGCCTTCTGGGGCTACCTAGGCCTTTGGGACGAAGGCCTCCACCAGCAAGGGCCACAGTCGGACCAGTCCCCTGGGTGAGTGTGGAGGTGAGCCAGGGTCTCCTGAAGGGTGGTGGGATGGCTCAGGGTCTCCCCAGCTAGAAAGCCCAGGTCTGGGGAGCTGTGTCTGTTGTACGCAGGCCTCCTGGGTTCTGTGTCTGCAGCTTTCTTGGTGAAATCCAAGATGACCCAGTGATGGATCGGACCCTTTACCTGTGTGTTAGCCACTTCAATCCTCAAATTCTCCTGGGTAGGTAGTAAGGAAATTGAGGATCAGAATGCTCAAGTGACTTGTCTAAGGAAACACAGCTAGGAGTTGTCCTGAGCCAGTTCCCTGCTATGAATATTGACAATCTGAGCTGGCTTCGCTTATATACAGAGCCTACTGCCTGGCCGTTCCTCCAGCTCCAGTTCCGGTAGCCTCCCTTCTATGGGGCTTGCTCTCACTAGGATGGCCCTTTGGTGCCAGTGCGTGGAATGGCATTGACCTTTGACCTCTGCTGGGTCACTGTACACAGTTGTGCAGGTGGTACACTGAATCCCGATGTCTGTGGCTTGACAGTCATTCACCTGTGCCACTATCCCTGGTGGTGGCTTTCTATCTCCTTCTGATGCAGCTGGCCAGACCCTGCTCGCTGCCTGGGCCAGGCCTGTGATCACCAGGGCCACAGTTCACATCCACCCCCTTCTCTTCCAGGCTTTGCTGTTTCTCAGCAGCCTGCAGAGGCCCCCCCCCCCAGACAGCTTGAAGCCCCTCCTTCCGCTGCCTGGCCAAGTCCCACCCACCCCAGACCCTCCTTCCTCTCCTCTGAAACAGGACCCCTTGGCACCAGCCCGCCTTCTGTCCTGGTGAATCAGGCCCAAGTCAGAGGGCTCCAGCCTCGACCCTCTTCTGGGACAGGCTGAAGCAGCCCTGACCCTTGTTCTGCAGCTAGTGTAAAAGCTGTGGCTGCTGAGCCACCTGGTGACCCCTGGGGATGGGAGCAACCCAGGGGGCGGGCTGCTGGCTATCATACCCAGCGCCGACGTGGCTGTGAGGGCCTGCACCGGGTACCAGGTCTCAAGGGTAGGCAGTTTGCTTGGAGGATCCTCTTAACAACATACACTTGATCCCCAAGTGCAAGATGGTCCCCAAGTCCTTGTGGACTCCTAAAGACCTGGCCTTCTCCCCCTTCCTCATCTTTTCAAGTCCCTGTTAAACATGTGTAACCAGAAGTGTGTTTGTGGGTGGGTGGGTGGGTGTGGGGTCCCTCTTCCCAGTGGTGTGTCTCTGCCTAGACCTATGGCTTGTGAGTGGTGTCCATGTTCCTCACCCAAGGCCTGATGATGCCTTCCTCTTGCTCTTCTTCCTCAGTGCCCCTTGTTTCGTTGTTCTAGATGTGTCTCCCTTGCCTACTTCTTTGCTCATAAGAAGCTGTTGTTTGGGGCTTGGGTCCCCTTGAGTGCCTGCCACACTCCCCACACTGCTTCTCAGTCTTGTGGCTTCTCAGCCTGTGTACGTGCTGGTGCAGGAAATAAAGGACCTGTGTGCTACGCATCGGCCTCCAGCCATGTTTCTTGAGGAGCGGTGTGTGTGTGTGTGTGTGTGTACACATGGGTGTATGTGTATATGTGAGTGCGTATACTCACATGATGCAAAGATAAAATTGTGGAGAGAGATGGACACTGCTAAGCACTTCTCTGACATACAAATACCATACCATCCACTCCTGTGGGGTGATGGGTAGGTGTGATAAACATTTTCCAGATGGTGACACTGAGGCCCAGGTAGGTTCAGGGACATTCCCAAGGATCTAACAGATAGTCATGGTGCAGGTGTTGAACTCGAGTCCTTAAAGTACATGCAGTGTGCTCTCTTCCCTGATTCTGTCGTCCTGGGAACTCTGTCCCTGTGTCCTGGGAAAGAGAGAGATAGCCACACAGTCTTATAGGCAGAAGCAGACTTATAACAGGGTTTGAGAACCAGGAGTGCTGGTTGCAAATGGCTTGTGCCTGTAATCCTAGCTATTCAGGAAGCAGAGATCTTAGGATGGTGATTCAAAGCCAGCTTGGGGGGGAAAAATGCTGTGAGACTTGTTTTTTTAAATCTGAGATCAGGACTTGAACTAGGTACCAGATGCTTTTGCTCATTGGCTGGCACTCTACCAACTAAGCCATGCCTCCAACCCCATCCATGAGATTCTTATTTCTAATTAACCAGCAAAAAGTCAGAAATGATGCCAGGCCACCAGTGGCTCATGCCTGTAATCTAGTAACTCATGAGGCTGAGATCTGAGAATCACAGTATGAAGCCACCCCAGGCAGGAGAGTCTGTGAGACTCTTAACTCCAATTAACCACCAGAAAACCAGGAGTATCACTGTGATTCAAAATCATAGAGTGCTAGCCTTGAGCAAAAAAGCTCAGGGACAGTGCCAGGCCCTGAGTTCAAGACCCACAGCTAACAAAAAATCAGAAGTGGTTGCATGGTTTAAGTGATAGACCACCAGCCTTGAGTGAAAAAGCTAAAGGATAGGTCTCTGAGTTCAAGCCCTAGTACTGGAGGGAGAGAGAGACAGAGCAACAGAACCATTAGGCTATACGGAAGACAGTCCCAGGAATTAGTGGGAGCGGAGAAGGAACAGGAAGCTAATGAGAAGGGAGTTTTAGGGAACCCAGACTCAGTGCCTTGGAAACCTCTGGGAATTCTTGTCACAACGTAAAGTATGGTCTGTTGGCCAGTTTCATTGTCATCTGGGAATCAGAAATGCAAAATCTCAGGGCAAGTACATGGCTCAAGTACTAGAACATCTGCCTAGCAAATATAATGCTAGGTTCAAATCTCAATACAAGAAGAAGAGGCAAAGCAGCAGCAGAAGAAATACAGTCTTAGGTTCTCCTCTAGACTTAGCACCTGCCCATTATCATGATCCCCAGTAAGTTCTGTACATGTTAGGGCTGGATGCACATGGATGTCGACCCCATTTCATCTCACCAAAGAGTAAGAGAGGTGGGGCGTGCTTTCTCCAGATCATCATCACTGGCTGGGGCTGAACCTGGGCTATCAACACTGTCATTGGCCATGGGAAGGCTGAGGAGAAGCCCTCATTAGGGGACATACTGCCATGGGACACGGCTAGCATGTTCCACAGTGATGAATACCAGGATCTGGAGAACACTGGCAGTCTCTCACGCCACCCCTTGTGCCACTCAAGTGGCTAGGGCTCCAGGTGGGGTTCACTGTGGCCCAGTGTGTCAATGCTTAGTCGATGTGTTGTAATGTCAGACATGAACTTAAAGGAGGAAAGGTTTTATTTATTTATTGGTCAGTCGTGAGGCTTGAACTCTGGGCCTGGGCTCTGTCCCTGAACTCTTCAGCTCAAGATGCGTGCTCTACCACTTCTGGTTTTCTGGTGGTTAATTGGAAATAAGAGTCTCACAGACTTTCCTGCCTGGGCTAGCTTTGAACCATGATCCTCAGATCTCACCCTCCTGAGTAGCTAGGATTACAGGCATGAGCCACCGGTGCCTGGCTGCTGCTGCTGCTGCTTCTTCTTCTTCTTGTTATTATTGTTATTATTATTATTATTATTCATGGGACTTGAACTCAGGGCCTAGGCTCTGACCCTAAGCTCTTTTGCTCAAGGCTAGTGCTCTTCCACTTTGAGCCAGAGTACCATTTCTGGTTTTCTGGTGGTTAATTGGAGATAAAAGTCTCATGGCCTGCCTTGGAATGTGGCTCAGTGGTAGAGTGCTTGTCTAACATGCATAAAGCCCTGGATTCAATTCTCAGTACCACATAAACAGAAAAAACCAGAAGGGGCACTGTGGCTCAAGTGGTAGAGTGCTAGTCTTGAGCACAGAGAGGCTCAAGGACAGTGCCCAGGCCTTGAGTTCAAGCACCAGGACTGGCCAAAAAAAAACAAGGAGTTTCATGGCCTTGCCTGCCAGAGCTGGCTTCAAACCACAAGCCTTAGATCTCAGCCTCCTGAGTAGCTAGGATTACAGGTGTGAGCCACCAATGCCTGCCTATTTATTTTTATTTTGGGCTTAAACTCAGGGCCTAAGTGCTCTCTCTGAGCTTTTACGTGCTTAAAGCTAGTGCCTTACCACTTGAACCACAGCTCTACTTCTGGCTTTTTTTTGTTGTTAATTGAAGATAAGAATCTCATGGGCTTTTCTACCTGGGCTGATTTTGAACCTTGAATCTCAGATCTCAGCCTCCTGAGTCGCTAAGACTATAGGTGTGAGCTGTTGTTGGCCAGCTTTTTTTTTTTTTTAAGTCTTTTTTTTTTTTTTTCCGGGTCTGGTCATGGCGCCTGAACTCTGGGCTTGGGCACTGTCCCTCAGCTCTTCAGCTCAAGACTAGCGCTCTACTACTTGAGCCACAGCACCACTTCCGGGTTTTTTCTTTTTGCTTATGTGGTGCTGAGGAATCGAACCCAGGGCCTCGAGCACATGCAAGGCAAGCACTCTACCACTGAGCCACCTTCCAAACCCGTTGGCCAGCTTTTTGATTTATCATTTAAAAGGCTTTCTCTGGATGCAGACAGTCCCAACCCCACCTATTCCCCTGCCCACCTAAGTAGATTCTTGTTTGTTGCTGCTCTCTGGAGACTTGGAAAATAATTCATTCTGGTTCCTGCCTCCAGGGGGCGCTCAGCTCCCCTCCCTGCACTGGGCACATAGCACAAGCTGATGGTCGGTTGGAAGCTAGTTTATTGTTTTATTTGCACAGGAGAGGATTAAGGAGGGGTGGGAGGTGGCTGGGCTCTGCAGTTTGGTTCTAGGGACGTGGGTCCCTTTCCTCAGCACTACGACGACCAAAGTCCATCCATCCATAGGCTTCTTCTTCTTCCTGCATCCACGGCCCCTGCTTCTTGGACAGGTCTGAGGAGACGATAGGAGGCGAAATTGGGGAAGGAACTAAAGCACGGGCCCGTACGGAAGGGGTCTTGGACAAACCTGGCTGTACAAGGCAATCAGGGTGTGGGTAAGCAGTTCCTACCTGCTATGAGGTATGGCAGGCCCTGGGGCCCCAGCTGTCTTCGGTAGTGAGAGGCCGGGCCCACCTGGTCTGGCCAGTGTGGCTCCAGACCTCTGCTGGCCGCTGGATCCGAAGGTGACTCTTGAAGATGGGACAAGGGCTTCCAGGAGGCTTGGGCGCAGGTGGCCAAAGCCAGCATGAACATCAGCGAGTACACAGCAGGTCGGAGCATCTTGTCTACAAGTGGGAGAGAAAGGGGCCAGGCTTCCAGGTGAGCCACACAAAGGCAGCCAGAGGCCTGGACCAGAAGGCAAGGGCCTGGGACCAGATGGGTTATGGCTTCTGGCTCCTACCTTCCTGTGTGAGTTCCTGCCGGTTCCCCTTCATCTTGACACCCCAGGAAACCCCTTGCCCTTCTGTCTTCCCTACCCAATGACAACGACTGAATAGAAGTTTCTAGACTGAGCCGGGCGCTGGTGGCTCACGCCTGTAATCCTAGCTACTCAGGAGGCTGAGATCTGAGGATAGCGGTTCAAAGCCAGCCCGGGCAGGAAAGACCGTGAGACTCCTATCTCCAATAAACCACCAGAAAACCGGAAGTGGCGCTGTAGCTCAAGTGGTAGAACGCTTGCCTTGAGCTGAAGAGCTGAGGGACAGCGCCTAGGCCTAGAGTTCAAGCCCCACGACCGACAAAAAAAAAAAAGAAGTTTCTAGACTGCTCTGTGAGATCTGAGGCCACATTAGTGGCTTTGTAGATATTATTTCTGTCAATTGTGGGGCTTAAACTTAGGCCCTGTCTCTGAGCTTTTTTTACTCAAGACTAGAGTCTACCACTTTGAGCCATAGCTCCACTTCTGGTTTTTAGGTGGTTAATTGGAGTAAGAGTAACAGACTTTTCTGCCTGGGCTGACTTTGAACTACTATCAGATCTCAGCCCTCCTGCGTAGCTAGGATTACAGGTGTGAGCCACCAATGCTTGGCAGATATTTTATTTTTAGCTGTTTGTTTTTTATTCGAGACTAACCCTCTATTTCTTTTCTTTTCTTTTTTTTGGGGGGGGGTCTGGTCGTGGGGCCTGAACTCTGGGCCTGGGCACTGTCCCTCAACTCTTCAGCTCAAGGCTAGCGTTCTACCACTTGAGCCACAGCACCACTTCCAGCTTTTTTGCTTATGTGGTGCTGAGGAATCGAACCCAGGGCCTCATGCATGCAAGGCAAGTGCTCTACCATGAGCCACCTTCCCAGCCCCATAACCCTCTATTTCTTAAACCACACCTTTTTGTGGATTCATTGGAGATGAGTTTCATTGACTTTTCTTCCTAGACTGGATCTGAACTGCAATCCTTAGCTCTCAGCTTCCTTAGAAGCTAGTACTACAGGTGTGATCCACCAGCACCTGGCTTTCTGTAGATATTTAAGTCTTGTAACTTCAAGTGAACTTTCATTTTTTGTTTTATTTTTCTTGGTCCTAAGGCTTGATCTCAAGGCCTGGCTCCTGTCCCTGAACTTTTTCCAGTCAAGGCTAGATTTCTACCATTTTGAGCCACAGCCCCACTTCCAGTTTTCTGGTAGTTAATTAGAGATAAGAGTCTCACTGACTTTCTTGCCCTGGCTGACTTTGAATGGTGATCCTCAGATCTCAGCCCCCTAAGAAGTTAGGATTACAGATGTGAGCTACTGGTGGCAGGCTCAAGTGAACTTTTTAAAACGGTGACTCCAAAGGCAAATACACGTTAAAGGGACTTACCACTGCAGTGGAGATTGTAGGCATAGTTACCACGTAGCCAGGGCGCTCCATCTTTGTGCAGCCCACAGAGGAAAGAAACTATCATATTTGTTTACCTGAGGAATCACTTGTGATTGTACATCAGCAATGGAGGAAAAATAAAATTAAACTGCCACCATTCACAACTAAGTACAGGATGAACCAAGTTTATTCACCCTTGAACTAAAATTCAAAGGTCCATCCATTCTTTTTTTTTTTCCAGTACTGGGGCTTGAACTGGGGACCTAGGTACTGTCTCTGAGCTTCTTTTGCTCAAGGCTAGCACTCTACACTTGAGCCACAGTGCCATTTCCAGCCTTTTCTCTTTATGTGGTACTTGAGGAATCGAACCCAGGGCTTCATGCATTCTAGGCAAGCACTCTACCACCAAGTCCCCCATCCGTTTTTTGGATCCAATGTTTCTGAGTTTTTTTAGCCTTGTCCTTGGATTGGATCTATTGGGAGTACAATTTAAAAAAGAAAAAGAAAAAAAAAACCAATCAACTTTCCTTTATCTGGGTAAGGTAGCTCATGGCTCATTGCCTGTAATCCCAGAATTTAGGAGGTAGAATCAGAGGATTACGGAGTTCAAGGTCAACTGGTGCTACTGAGCAAGATCCTGTCTCAAATCCAAAACAAAATTAAAAGAATTAAGCTGCAGGTGTCCGTGGCGCACACCTGTAATCTTAGCTACTCAGGAGGATGAGCTCTGAGGATCATGGTTTAAAGCCAGCCTGGGCAGGAAAGTCTGCAAGACTCTTATCTACATTAACCACCAGAAAACTGGAAGTGGCTCTGTGGCTCAAGTGGTAGAGCACTATCTTTGAGCTGAAGAGCTGAAGGACAGCGCGCAGGCCCAGAGTTCAAGCCCTATGACTGACAAAACAAAAAGCCCAAAACAAAAAAATAATATATTTTAATATGATTAAGCTTAGATGAATCCTTTGAAGGATTTAAAGAGAAATCCACATTTCAGCCATATTTCAGGCTCCTATGTGGCGAGTGGTGCCATATTGTACAAAACAGAATTTAATTGTCTCTTCTTTCTCATCTGAGTGATAGAAGGGCCCTCATATCCCTGGGAGGAATGGAAGGAGAAGATGAGGGAGGGGACCTGCCTGAAGCAGAAGGGCAGGTGGAAGGTAAGGGCAGGGAATGTCAGGATGGCCCTCAAACCAAGACCGAGTTTCACCGTGGCGCAAGAGAAGGATTCTAACTGGGTACTGGTGGTTCACACCTGTAATCCTAGCTGAGTAGGAGACTGAGATCTAAGGATTGTAGTTCCAAGCCAGGCCAGACAGAAAGTCTATGAGTCTTTTTTTTTTTGTCATGGGCCTGGAACTTGGGGCCTGGGCTCTGACCCTGAGCTTTATTTTTTTCCCCCCTCAGGGCTGGTGCTCAACCACTTTGAGCCACAGCACCACTTCTAGTTTTCTGGTGATTAATTGGAGATAAGAGTCTCCTGGATTTTCTTGCCTGGGCTGGATTTGAACTGTGATCCTCAGATCTCAGCCTCTTGAATAGCTAAGATTATGGGTGTGAGCCACCAGCACCTGGCTCATGAGACTCTTACCTCCAATTAACCACCAAAAAGTTGGAGGTGGAGCAGTAGTTCAAGCGGCAGATTGCCAGCCTTGAGCATAAAAGCTCAGGGACAGTGCCCTCAGGTTCAAGCCCCGGTACTGACACAAAAGAGAGAGGAGAGGAGAGGAAAGGAGAGAGAGAGAGAGAGAGAGAGAATCCAAGTTCTTAAGACACCAAAATCTGGTACCCTGATGGCTGGTCCCTGCACTCCCTCCGGTCTTGGCTTCTCACCTGCAGAGCTGGGAGGTGGTGGAGTGGTGGTAGCGTGGTAGCTGGGTCAGCTCCCTCTCTGCTTGGTCTCCAGCCCACCTTTATGGAGCTCTTGTGGTCCCTCCCAAGTGCTCCTCCCACGTGAGGCCAGGCTTAAAACTGGGTGTGGGGTACGGATCCAACCTATCACCCTTGTCACATAGCCATGCCGTGCCCTCCCCCCTCCTCCCACCCCCATGGCAGACCCACTGTGTCCCTCCCTAGCCCTTGTCCTTTGGACTAGGATCCCCCGGTGGGGGCAGCTGGGAGAGATGAACTAAATGACCTTAGGGACATCCCCTATGCTGATGTTTGGTGGGCAGGCAGGGTGTGACTGTGGGGTGACATATTGATTCCTGTCCCCTTCCGGCATGCTCTGCAAACAGGATGTGTGATAGTTATCAGGAGCAATGGGCCATAGGCTGATGCCCTGCCCTTTCTGCCCAGAGATGCATGTCCTGGTTGCCTCTGAACCCCTTCACCCAGGCTTATCATGGGCAACCTTCAGCTCTCCCTTCCCCATGTGCCCTCTGTGCTGAGAACTGGATGGGCCTGCAGCTCCTCCTTCCATCTCCCGGGACCTGCTGTCTGTCCTCCTTGCCCGGCATTCCCTCTACCCAGAGCCAGTGCATTTCAGTGCTGCTCATGCTGGGCCTGTAATCCTAGTTACTCAGGAGGCTGAGATCTGAGGATCATGGGGATCATGGGCAGGAAACTCCAGGAGAATCTCCAATTAACCACCAAAAAGGTGGAAAGTAGCACTGTGGATCAAGAAAGGAAGGGATGGAGGGAGGGAGGGAGGGAAAGAGGGAGGCAGGCAGGCAGGCAGGCAGGCTGGAAGGAAGGAAGGGAGGAAGGATGGAAGGAAAGAAGGAAGGAAGGAAGGAGGGAAGGAAGGAAGGAAAAAAGGAAAGAAGAAAGGAAGGAATATAGGAAGGAAGGAAAGAAGGAATAAAAAAGGAAAGAAGGAAGGAAGAATGAAAGAAAGGTAGGTAAGAAAACTGGAAGGATAGCTGGGCGCCAGTGGCTGATGCTTGTAATCCTAGCTACTCAAGAGGCTGAGATCTGAGGATCACGGTTCAAAGCCAGCCTGGGCAGGAAAGTCCATGAGACTCTTATCTCCAATTAACCACCACAAAGCTGGAAGTGGTGCTGTGGTTCAAGTAATAGGGCACTAGCCTTGAGTTGAAGAGCTCAGGGACAGTGCCTGGCCCAGAGTTCAAGCCCTATGACCAACACAAAAAGGAAGGAAGAAAGCAGGCAGGGTCTAGGAATGTGGCTTAGTGATAGAGTGCTTGCCTAGCATGCATGAAGCCCTAGGTTTGATTCCTCAGTACCAAATAAACAGAAAAAGCTAAAAGTGGTGCTGTGGCTCAAATGGTAGAGTGCTAGCCTTGAGCAAAAAATCAGGGATGGTCAGTGCCCAGGCCCTGAATTTATACCCCAGGATTGGCAAAGAAAGAAAGAGAGAGAGAGAAAGAGAGAAAGATAGAAAGAAAAGAAGGAAGGAAGGAAGGAAGGGGCTAGTCAAGTGGCTCAGTGGTAGAGTACTTGTTTTGCATGCATGAGGCCCTGGGTTCAATTCCTTAGCACCACATAAGCAGAAAAAGTCTGAAGTGGTGCTGTGGCTGAAGT